ATTTGATGAGCTGGGAGCATGCGAAGCTGGGAAAATTTCCACAGATTTATTTGGGGCCAGTAGCAAGGACAAAGAGCAGAGAGGGCCAGAAATTGGCAAATGGGCAGATAAAAAAAGGTCAAGGAACCTGGAAATTGGCAGATTCCCAAGAACTGATGACAGTGGGTATATTAATTTGCTAGGGTTACCATAATAAAGTGCTCAAGCTGGGAGCTCAAACAATGGCAATTAATTTTCTCACAGTTTTGGAGGTTAGAAGTCCAAGATCAAGGTTACTTTGATTCTGAAGCTTTTCTCCTTGGCTTGCAGACAGCCACCTTCTCACAAGGGCCTCGTACATTCTTTTCTCTGTGTGAAAAGTTCTCACAAGGGCCTCATACATTCTTTTCTCTGTGTGATTTTTTTAATTTATTTATTTTTTGGTACTGGGGATCAAACTCAGGTCCTTGTGCTTGCGAGGCAGGCGGCAGAACCACTGAGCTAAGCCAGCCCAGTTTCCTCTTCTTTTAAGGACACCAGGCAGACCCCAATAACTTTATTTTAACTTAGCTATCTCTTTGAGGGGCTATCTCTGAAAACAGTCACATTCTGAGGTCCTGGGAATTTAGAGCTTCAACGTTTGAACGGGGGTGGGGGGACCTACTATTGTAGCAAATATAATTCACAGTGTTGCAGCTCTAGCTGGTATAACAGAGTCACGCTGAAAAGAATCCAGCACATACCCTTGAAGTTGGAGGCAGGTTTATTTTACTAGCGGTCTGATCTGAGATTTCTCCACAAAGAGATCAGCCCCGTCTTGGGGGTGAATAGAGTTTATATTTGGGAAAGGAGAGGTAAGGATACAGTGGCAAGATACTCAACATTAGTTCATTAGTTGAGGTAGATATATTTAGCTTGGATAGAAAGGTAGAATTCACATTATTTACATATGGTGGGAAGCAGGGGTCACAGAAACCCTATTTCTCACAAAGGGCAATGGTGGGAAAACATGTCCAGGTCTCACTTGGACTTGCCAGATGTGTTTTACATGCGGGAAGGGTCAGAGCTCAGAGACTCCTTCTGGTCAGAAATCATTTCCCTGTTTACCGCAGTTCAGCCTACAACAATGGGGTGGATAAAAGGAGGGATGGTCTGGAAAATAACTTGTCAGTGCCCCCAGATAGGAGACAGAGCAACATGACAATTCAGTGCAATGCAAAATGATCCAGAGTTGGATGTCGGTCAGGAGAAAGGCACTTTGGGACAGTATTTGACTCAGGTCTGTAGATTAGGTAATAGTATTACATCTGTGCTTATTTCCTTCTTTGCTGCGGTGGTTATGTAAGACATCAGTATTTGTAGAAGCTTGAGCGAAGAGTATATGGGAACTTTCTGTACTATTTTTGCAACTTTTTTTCTAAGTCTCGAACTATTTCAAAATTAAAAGTTAGAAATTTAACCAGGTGTCACTCGGAAGGCTGTAATCCTAGCCCTCGCGAAGCTGAGGCAGGAGGATTCCCACGTGTTCCAGGCCAGCCTGAACTACATAGTGAGACCCTGTTTTAAATCAACAACAACAACGACAAAAAGAAAAGTTAGAAATTTAAGAATTAAGTAAAATGGGGGTGGTGGGAGACTGAGTTGTCACCGTGAAGAAAAAAAGAAAAGGGAGGAAAATAAGTAAGGAGAATATAAGTTTCACGAGGTCCGAGATTTTTCCCTGTTGTCCCTGAACCCGTTTAGGGATAGAAGATGGGACCGCAGCATTCGTCTTGGGAAGAATTGATCACTGAGGCACAAGGGGAAGAAGAGAAGGCAGCAGGTACAGTGAAAAAAAAAGAAAAGACCTGAGTTTAACTTTTGACATTCTCCAAACGAAGCGACACCATCAGTACACTGTGTATGTTGAAAAAGTGACTTTTTTTGCACACGAGCCTTTAAAACACATTGCTGCCAAGGATTTAGCTCCGCGGTGCCGCGCCGGCCTGGAACACGGGATTGGACGCGCGGGTTGGTGCGCGCCGGGCGCCCAATCGCGCGCGAGCATCGGGAGACGCAGGTGGAGGTGGAGGCG